GATTTATTATCCAGTATTGAGTTCTATTGCAAGTGCCTTTAAACATTACAGACTATAATCTTGACATGAACATTACTATAACATTTTTTCAAGCTTGCAAGTGAAGCAGCATATGCTTAAAAGTTTGCAGGATGAGGTAATTGGTTAAAATCATTTTTTTTAAATAAAGGGAAAACAAAGGTACATGTTAACTGGAAAACCAAATGCACATTGCTTACAGGAGATATATAGTAACATTTAAGGCATAGAATTTCTTTGGTAGAAGTAACACTGGTTGCAGAATCAGCTTGTAAAGTAAGGTCTTTATCCAAGAAAAAAAAAAAAACCACACCTCAAGTGCTTAACTTTACACACACAAACCAAAGTTAGCCATTAGGAGAAAATTCAAGTAAGATAATATAGTTTCTGTAACCAAGTCCACTCACCACTAGGTGCCCACTCATGTCCAGTCTGGCACAGCACTTATGTCACTGCCCCTGGTCACTCTTCTTCTTCCAGTAACTTAGCCCACCAATAGAGTCACCCTCTTAAGTCCACACCTTCTGGGATCACCAGAGTCACTCTCTTAAATCCACTTTTTCTGGGATCACAACTGTCCAAACAAAAAGTCCCAAAAGCATTCTTAAGCGCAAACAAAAATCCTTTACTGCTGTCTGGGACTCTTCTTCAGCCAGTTGTCAACTCAGCCCACAACCCCTTGTTAGGGTCAATAATCCTTAGGCTGAGCTTGTATACCCCCTTCCTTAGGGCTAGGAGCAGTTCCCTGATCAACTCTGCATTCCAACTCAAGGCCCCATTCTAAACAGATAGCTCTGTTCCTTTACCCAGGCTGCAATTGTCCCTGGGCCACTTCCTACCCAGCCTCTGAAGTTTTCATCAGGATCCCTGCTTAACCAGGATCTCTCCCAGGCTTCCCTACCTCCAGAGTTTTTCCCTAGTCTCCTCTCTATTTGGGTAAGGTTTTTTCCTGACCTCTCTGCCTAAAGAGCTTTGCTTTACTCTCTACGCTTTCTGCTTGCTTCTCTCACTCTCCATCTCATTTCCTCAGCTGAGCTTTATCCTTACTTAGGCCTAGCTCTCATTCACACTACCACACCCACCTTCTACCTCTTGTGGGGAATGTGCCTGATTCCCCTCAGGTGGAATCATTCTGTAATCAGGTTGGCTTAGCCTCATGCTCTCCAGCTAGGGTGACCAGATGTCCCAATTTTATAGGGACAGTCCCAATTTGGGGATCTTTTTCTTATATAGGCTCCTAATACCCCCCACCCCCTCCCAATTTTTCACATTTGCTGTCTGGTCACCCTATCTCCAGCCCATAGGGCAAGCCACTCTGTTACAGTGCCCTTAGTGAATATTTGGGGAGTAAGATGGTCACACAAGTGGTGACATGTGAAAAAGTACTAACCTACTGAAGAGAGGGGAAAAATAAAGGTGAAGAAAAGCAGTCATCACTCCTGGATCAATGGGAATGAAAAAGGTCATGACAACAGCCCAAAAAATTAGATAGTATTGAAGTCATGTGATGACAAAGAATAAACTTGTGCTATAGAAGAAAGAAAATATAAATTTTAATTAAAATGTGTAAATTGCAAAATCATATAAAGATAGAAAGTGTTATAATAAAAACTTCGAAATGTGATTGCTTAGCTAGCAGCATCAATTTTTACTATCCTATTCAAACCATAAATTAAATAACACAATGACATAGATATGCATTGTTAACCAAGGTAAATGATCATGTGCTAAGGACAATAAGAGTAATAAAAATACAGGTGTTAAAATAAATACATGTTAGGAGTGAAATTACATATGGTCTAGAGTACAGTTAACAGAGCATCATTCAACAGCCAATAAGATTAATTTGTGAGATGGCAATTTATTAAGATTAATTTATACATAAACAAGTTACGCCAACGCACACGGACAAGGGATTCTTTTAAACACCAGAAACACGTATGATAATTATGAAAATGTTTAGGACGGTGTGTTTGTAAATTATTTCACTGATTCAAGGCTCCTTTGGCCACTCAGTACATCCTTTCCGATGAAGAAGAGATGCCTTAGCTAGGTATTGGACCACCCTGTTCCTTTCGCAGCTCTGGAGAGGGGACCGTCCACAGAGAAACACCAGCCACTGACGCCCTCCCCTCCGCCATCTGGGCAACCACTACAGAATGTAACAGAGGGTCCTGTGGCACCTTTGAGACTAACAGAAGTATTGGGAGCATAGTATCAGGGGGTAGCCGTGTTAGTCTGTATCTACAAAAACAACAAAGAGTCTGGTGGCACCTTAAAGACTAACAGATTTATTTGGGCATAAGCTTTCGTGAGTAAAAACCTCACTTCTTCGGATGCATCCCAAGAAGTGA